AATGAGAAAGAAGGAGTCAACACAAATGACATTAAAAAAATATGGGCAGAAGTAATAGCAGAAAACTTCCCAAATATGAGGAAACAATCTAAATCATGCTTTCTAATAGGACTAGCTCATGCCATTTACATCCAATGTATAAAGATAGTACAAGTTATAATTAAAACAGAAAAAAATACAAGTGATACAATTTTCACTTAGCAAAGTAATATGAATTTCACAGTATTTGTTATAATACATAGTGTTGTCTTCAAACCAGTTATTCATATTACCAGATATATGCATGTAAAATTGAAAGAAGATAACAAAAACAAAAAAAACTATATAAGAATCGTTTCCCCTTTTTGTCTTCTTAATATGAGATTATTTCTGAAAATAGGGAATGTCTCTGGAAATCTCATCCTCATTCTCTTTCCCAAAAGATAAACATCCCAAAGAGGACCTCTGTGTTTACTGCCCTCAGTTCTTGGCTTCTAAAATTTTTCTGAGGTGCATCAAATTACCTTGAACTAGGTCTGGCAAGATCGCTCAACATGATTATTTGAATTATTTGGTCGACCGTAATGTTTTTATTTTTCTTCACTGGACTGAATTGATTCTTATAGACCCAGCTAAAAGTTTCATGTGTATGTATCAAATATGCAACAAAAGATGTTAAACTGGGTTCTTGAACAATGAAGCCAATTTTAGTAGGGGCTGTTGTTGCTATGTAAGCAATGTATTTATTGTTCATTCATTGTTGTGTTCATTCATTTATGAATTTAACAATCTCAGAATCATCTCAATCCATTACAATCATCTAAATTACAAGAAAAAGAGGAAAGAAGTGAGAAAGGTTTTAGATAGATATAGATATAGATATAGATATAGATATAGATATAGATATATACACACACCATACAAGATAGCTTCAATAATTGTACTGATTTGTACAGGTCTATTCAAAGGAACAGTTAATGCTAAAATTATTTCTTCTTTTTAGTTTTTTCACCAATTTTGCAAGCTTATATCTGTAATCTGAACAACTAATTTGAAGACAATAATATGCAATATAACAACTATTACTGGATTCCTATCATCTTGTTTAGTGAAATTTTGTATCATTTGAAATTATTTTTACTATTTTTATTCTCTTTAATTTCATTTATTTATTTATTTATTTATTTATTTATTTATTTATTTTAGTGGAACCAGGGATCGAACTCAGGCCCTTGTGCTTCCCACACAATCACTTATTCTACTGAGCTATCTCCCCAGCCCTTTATTCTCTTGAGAAAGATAAAAATATGTAAAGTTTACACAATGGCAGATCATAGTATGGCAAATGGTGTGACACATGACAAAGATATGTTCTACTCTGTAATAGGTTCACAGGATACAAATGTCACTGTTGCCCTCACAATAAGATTTTCATTAGAATTCATGTCGTGTAGTCCTGACTAAATGAACCAGAGGAAGTGGTTCTCTAGATATCATCACAGATTGATTAAATCCTGCACGGTCTAGCTTCCCTAATCTACCTCTTCTTATTTTGCTAACACTAGTTATGACACGTTAGGCTTTTCTTCCATGAAAATCGAGCTTAGAGAATCGAGCTTCTATGGAAATTACATTTAGAGAATTAAAATTGTGTGCCATACATAGAAGAGATGCTCTACAGCAAAGTCATGTTCAAGACAAGCTTAACTATACCTGGTCATTATGTCATCTCACCACATTAAGCCATTGTAATGACAAAAAAAATCATGCATTCTCCATAATCAGGAATCTTATTATTGTCACTTACCAAAGAAGCCCAATTTCAATGAATGCAACTGATGAATCATAAAAGAGAAGCTGCCCTACTAAGGAGTTTTCTCACAGCTTCCTTCATGTCCCTATTCCTCAGGCTGTAGATAAAGGGATTCAGCATCTGAGTGACAACTGAGTACATCACTGAAGCCACTGCGGTATTCCTGGTTGAGTCAGTAATGGCAGCACTGATGTACACCCCAAACCCTGTCCCATAGAACAAGGACACAACAGATAGGTGTGACCCACAGGTGGAAAAGGCTTTATACCTTCCTTCTGATGATGGTATCCTCAAAATAGATGACACAATACAAACGTAGGAGAAAATAATCCCAAACACAGGAACACCAGCAAATAGACTAACCACAAAATATACCAGGATATTATTAATGAGGGTATCAGAACAGGCGAGCTTGATAAGGGGAGCAAGTTCACAGAAGAAATTGGGGATTTCTAGGTCTTCACAGAAAGACAGCCATAATAACATCACAGTATGGACCAGGGCAGCTGCATTACTGATAAACACAGAGCCCAGAACCAGAAGAACACAGAGGCAAGGGTTCATGATGACTGTGTACCTCAGTGGGTGACAGATGGCCACAACGCGGTCATAAGCCATTATTGCAAGAAGAAAATTTTCCAAGACAGTAAAGACCATGACAAAATAGACCTGACTGAGGCATTCTGTGTAAGTGATGCTCTGATCCTGAGCTTGAATGTTCACCAGCATCTTTGGGATCGTGGTTGTGCTGGTACACATGTCCACGAAGGACAGGTTGGAGAGGAAGAAGTACATGGGAGTGTGGAGGTGTGAGTCAGAGCTGACGGCCAGGATGATGAATGTGTTTCCTAGGACGGTGACCAAGTACATGGCCAGGAACAGGCCAAAAATGAGAGTCTGAAGTTGTAGGTCATCTGTCAGTCCCAGGAGAAGGAATCCTGAAATGACTGTTTGGTTTCCGACTTCCATACTACTGATGAATCTCAGAGGAAGTGGAATAAAAAAAAAATAAAGTGCATGGACAGGCAGCAATAGCACTCAGGAATGTATTAGAAAATCATATATA